AAGTGCTTGAGAACGTACTCTGACGCTCTTCTGCACCTGTCCAATCGCGGCCACATCAAGCCCACAGTCATGCCGGCAACCTGACCGATGCAGTGGCAGTATCGTTGTAGCACTTTGCTCGATGTTGGCTGCTGTCCATAATTGTGTTTTAAAACTCATACATCAGATATTTGGATGTCTTTAAAACTTTTTAGAAATCCCAAAGAATTTGCAATTTTATTTCTTATAAATTTAAACATAATCTTTAATCCTCCAGTTTCACTTGAAACGTAATCGATTCCTCTTCCCAGTTTGACATATATTTGTACATGCTACAAGCCTATCTACACACATGCGTTTTCGGCCATGCGAGCCACCAATCAAATGCATACCAGTTCTAACATGCAGCTGTTACGTGTAAAGCATAAGAGTATCACAGATGACACTTTGAGCTTTTTAATTTAGCTGTGTAACTTCCCCCGGTTATTTTACAGAAATGTTACTGTAACCCCTCCCCCCTGCCAACCGATGGGGTAAATCATATCTGGAAAACTCTATTATCCTTGCAAAAAGCATCTTCTGGAAACTACCACAGACGAGCAATGCTGTGTCGTTGGTTAATTTGAGTGCAAAGATGAGGCAGTTTGAATTGGCATGGCAGGTGTTGACAGGGTTGTACAAGTAATGTTCGACCTGCCAGGTCATGTTATAGCCGTAAGACACGTGGCCCCTAACTTACTTGTGTACGAGTTGTCCTCGCCTAACACGCAACAAAGGTGGCAAGGTAAAAAACAAAACACTTCGATTTCAGATGTTCCGTGAAAAAAAAGATAAGAAACATTGTGATCCACCACGTTTCTTAAGCAAGAGCGACCGTACCATAACCGATAATCAAAAATAATTTACATTATTTTTATGTTTGTACACTAAAGCCGTAATTTAGTTTCATTATTAAAGCAGACAAGCGAAAAGCGCCGTGCGGGCGCACGCTGCTTGCCGTACTAAGGAACGTGGTCGATGTTTTGTGACAAAACGTTAATGACTAAACACATTGAACATCATGCAGGCCGCGAGCTTTGCTAAGTAATACATGTTCTCATTAGCAAAGCTCACGGACAGAGGCGCTGCCATTAGATGGACGAACACACAACTTACACACTAGCACGACACTGATAAAAACATTCCCATTCAGCTACAACACCGAGAACACCTCGTTTAATACACTGGTGCACAAAACAAGCGTGGCACTGCCTGGCAAATCTAAATTTCGTTTTTGAGGTTTTAGGCACGGCACATAAATGTTTAGGAAGGAGTTCCTCATAGCAGGATATGCAGGTATTTAAAAGTTTGCTTACGTAAAAGACATTTATTTCAAAACTCGCGGGATTTTAAAGAAATTTCACTTGTACAAATTATTGTGCTGTTCAAATATAATTGGACTGGGAACTTAAGTATACATTTTTTAGAAAATGTAATCTTTATCGTTATTTTTTTTAAATGAGCGTGCCACCATAAATGTGCTAGAATGATTTCCTTTGTTCTGGAAATCTAAATGCAACTTTGTACATTTGGACACTGCGACAGCGGGATAAAAACATTGCATGTGGAACATATATATATATGTGTGTGTATATATAGTATTCCACACCCGTCACCTGACTAATGAGTTTGGTAGGTGGCAAATAAGTTTATTTTGTACATGTGGGAGATATATTGTGACCAAAGCCTTAATGCCAAAATTTTACAGTTTTAAAATAAGTATCACGGGTAGGGATTTGGCAATAAAGAGTTTTGCTACAAATTAACTGCACTGTTGAAAAACGTATTTAGCATAATTATCGTGGTAAATGTAAAAACCACGTTTATTTTTGTCAATTTTTATATGTCCGGGCCTAACTTTGACGCTCCTACCAAACTCCAATTGTTGGAAAACGAATTTTATAACATGACATTGATTTTGTCAGACTTTAAACTAAGCATGACCTTACTTTTTAAAGCGGGTCCTAAATGTCCAGTGTATACCTGTGTGTGTATACCCAGCGTGTATCTGGTTTCAAATTCAACCGGATTCTAGAATATTAGGTAGCATTTTTCTGCTACAGTTTCATGCTTAGTTTAAATTCTGACTCTAACAACAAAACACTTTCTGCATTTACGCAAGTAACATTTATCATCTAAGCTATTATTGAGAAAGCATGTTTGTAAGTAAATGCTGAAATGAGTTCTCAAAAAGTACGAATGAACTCAAGAAATTTCATTAAAAGTTACTTTTCTCAGATGATTGTTTAACCGAAAGAAGGGCGCCCTTCTCTCATGTTGTAAAACATTACTGGTAATTGGACTACATGTAGCTGTTTTCGTCCAAAATTGTCATTTTAAATAATGTTTTGCAAGTTATTATTTCAGATAGTTAGAAGTTGAAAGAAAAAAAACAACAACTCTGCATTGATTCATTAAAATTGTACAAATGTGTGTTGAACTGGATGACCGCGGCTAGACATGCACAGACACTCTGCATACGTACTTGGTCTGAGACCTGCCATCTGGACCACGCGGACTCCCTTCCGGAACGTAGCCACTACATGTAAACAAGAAGCCATACAGTCACACACTGATACGTGCACGGCTCGGGAACAAGTGCTTGAGAACGTACT